TATATATATATATATATATATATATATATATATATATATATATATATATATATATATATATGTATATATATATATATATAAATTGACATTTGTCATATAAATATTAATATCTTACGACATTTGTCAAGTTGCACATTGTAAACAAAAAAATTGACAAATTGCATTTAATCATTTGAAAAATAACAGTGTGTCTAATTTGTCATATAGTACCACGTTCTCGATTCTTTATTGTTCATATTCTTTCACTAGAGTTCCTCTAGTAAAAGGCTATCTACAATGGGATTAATAGTAAGCAGTAAGACGTAAACAGCAAACAAATTGTCCAAGCACAGTCGATTATACTTGTTAATAATTTATTACATATATAATCGACATATATATAATAATTATTACAAATATAATCGACTGTGATTGGTTAATTTACGTACTATTTGCATCTTAAACTAGCGGCACATGATGCTTATTTCACGCTGGATTGCTTGCTAGATGGAGATACTCTGTTCTGATTGGTGCATTTCTGAAGATGGATGGAAATGCACCAATCAAAACAGAATATCTCCATCCAGCAAGCAATCCAGCACGAAAACAAGCATTGTGTACCGCTGGCATAAGAAATTGTCTAATTATGTTACACTCGAATGTAAAAAACATAATCAACTATGATTGATCTATTCATAGTATTTACTACCAGTAGAATGGGTTTTAAACTCGTTATTAGCACGTGACGTCTGAAATTAGTTTCAAAGTCTCCGTTACGAGTCGCTACTGGTCGCTAACGAAGAATGGAGAACGTAGTAGATCTTAAGTTTATATAATATAAGTAATAGATGTATAAAATTTTAAAGAAAACATGTTACTTTAGTATTGGGAGTGTGAATAAGTTCTCGCCGTTTCACCATCAGATGGCGGTATAAAAATTTTGTGTATAATTCAAGAAGATGACGCATCTATATTGAAGTTCTATAACCTATGTTTAAAATTAGTGCGAATCTTTCCATTAACCTATAAAGAACATTTTCTTTTCGTAGCGTAAAACATGTCAAATTTCGTGCCAAATAAACCGTTTTTGCGGGGAATTTTATTGCACTACTTTATTCAGAAGAAATCTGCAGCTCAAGCACACAGAATTCTTGTAAAAACCTATGGTGATCATGCTCTGTCGGAAAGAACATGCAGAGATTGGTTTAACCGATTTAAAAATGGTGATTTTGATGTTCAAGATAGAGAACGCAGTGGTGCACCAAAAAAATTTCAAGACGAAAAATTGGAAACATTACTTGCTGAAGATCCATGTCAGACGCAATCCGATGTTGCAAAATCATTAGGAGTTGATCGAACAACAGTTTCGAAACGTCTGACAGCATTAGGAATGATACAAAAGGAAGGCCGCATGTCGCGTCACCGGTCAAAACATACCTGGAAACGCTGAAATGGGAAGTCCTACCTCACCCGCTGTACTCTCCAGACATTACGCCTTCTGATTACTATTTATTTCGATCAATGACTAACGGCCTGGCTGAGCAGCACTTCACTTTATATGAAGAAACGAAAAAATGGATCGATTCGTGGATAGCCGCAAAAGAAGTGTCGTTTTTTCGACGTGGAATTCAAATGCTGCCAGAAAGATGGGAAAAAGTAGTCTCCAGCAATGGGCAATACTTTAATTGACTTGTTTTTTTATTATTTTTTTAAAATAAAGGATTTATTTTCACAAAAAACGGCGAGAACTTATTCACACTCCCAATATGTAATCTTGAGGTCGAATAGGCTAGTATCTAGATCTGTACACTTTTATTGTACACCCTTTATCTCAATAAAAAAAAAAGGAGAACGTAGTACGATTCAACGACAAGTCAGACACTCTTATTTTTTTAAATAACACAACTAAATGACTTAGCCTGCGTTCCGATATTCACTACCAATACTGAAACAGTACAGTTCATGTCGCGTACACTATAGATTTCAGTACTGGCAGCGAATATCGGAACGCAGCCTTAGTTAGATATCCTTTTATTTTTAAATTTTAACGATTTAACAACAAAAAGATCTTATCTTTAAATAACATATATCAATGATATATCAGACACACATTTATACTGCATACATTAAATTGAATTGTATTTATAATTAAATTAAATATGTACAATTTTTCTCGATTACAGAAAATAAACAAGTTTTGGCGAGCTGTAATTTAGGCAAAAATGAAAATAATAAAATGAATAATAATAAAATGAAAATAATAAAATGATTTAAAAAACACTTTGAAGCTTAAAGTCTCTACTTTTTGCAAACATGATGTTGATAATATGTTGATGTCGTTGTTTTTATTTATGTTCGTTTAGCTGCATAAGAAATAACTATTATTACTTCATAATATTATAACACTAAATACTTCTTAACTTGTAAAATGCTTCCTAAATCATATCATCGTTATTTTTGCAAAAGTTATAGCTAATTGAATTCTGCCTATTTTTCAGGGTCAAGAGAAAAATGAAATTTAAATTTGTACATTTATTTTTAAATATTAATAAAATTTGAACACATATCACACAGAAAAGTAATTAATTCTTTAATTGAAAAAAGATATACATTGATTAAGTGCAGAAAGTGTTCGGAGGTTTGTCGATCTATGCATTGCTCTCTCCGTGACTAAAATCAACGACTTAACCCAGTCAAGCAGAGAGGGTAGAGACACGGAGTGCGAGACTCGATTCAGCTGCGTGAAAAATGGCATGGTTGTGCGCCCGTACCGTGCTCCAAACATGTCGACGACCGATTTCCTACAGTCTCGTGTGTGCCCAGAAAGATTGTAAATATCTTTCACGAACCGTATCGTTCGCCTCTCGTCTGCCTTTCCAGATTTTCCGTGCTCCTATTACGTAATATTTTCCAATGGTCTTGTAGATTTTTGACTTTAGGCCACGGTATATGTCTTGCACACGGGATAACAGAAATGAATTCCTGTCATTCATGCATTAAATATTCGTTTCTTTCTGCTTGACAGTTGCCGAACCGTTGGATCATGCTACTGGTTTGGAGAAAAGGGAGATGCTCGCCCGTTTAGCCGGCAATGAAGTAAGTGGCGACGTTTTCAGTTCGTTCTATTAATCGAAGAATCTGCATACACGAAAATATGGTTACATCCATATAATATGAGTGACATAATTCATTAACATATCGCGATATATTTGTGATATTTTTGTGCCATGGAAGACATTAGCCATGATAATTTCCAATAATAGAGTCCTTGATAAAGTTTTAAGTATCAAAGATAAGAGAGCAGTGCTATATTGGAAGTGTAGTATTTTTATGTCTATAGTTCATATGCTTCTAATTGAAATTAATAACTTGATAATACTTGATTTGAACTTTGAACTTGAAAGGTGAAACACAGAGTATGTATTTAGTATAACAAATGTTCACTGAGCATTTAGTGAGCTCTTGTATATGATTGGTATATTCTTTTAAATCTAAATAAATACATTAATAACATGCAAGAGCTCACTAAGTGATTGTGATACTTACTGCCAATAAATTGGCAGTGAAAATTTATAGTTCATGTTAGGGATACTATAGATTTTTAATATTAGCAATGAACAGTCAATATATATATAAATGTGTTCTTTTTCAAAAAACTTTTTTAACTGATGTACATTAATTCAATAAGATAGAATAAAACAACTCAGGAAGTTCAGCAATCATGAATCTTTTTCCTTTGTTAAACTTGTAAAAAATGAACATTTTCATATCCCTTCAAGGTAAGACATTTTCACTAATTCATACTAATAAAAAATATTCATGATCAACCACCAGAATAAACTTCTGAAAGATGTCTAAGAGATGTATCATTTATTTAGATGTCTTTTATATCTTTTAGATATCTTTAAGTTGTCTTTAGTACATCTAGAAGTTTATGCTCTCTGAAAATATATACTTGAACTCACTTGAACTTCTTTTGGTGGAATTAATTCTACCAGAAAGTTCTTTAAAAGAAAAAAATAGACCTTTTATGATATTTCCTGTTCACACTTGTTTTAGGATCCCTACAACTTGACTATAAAGCGAAGAGCACACAGCACGAAGGAGAGTCCCAACTTAGTATACAGCTCATTTGAAAGCCGTATAATGGGTTGCATTTGCGATGAGGATGCGATGCATGTTAACTGGATGTGGCTGCATCAGGGTCCTCCGCGCCGCTGCGAGTGCGGCCACTGGTTTAAACTGGTCGAAAAGGCGCCTGTATAATATACTTAAGGATGAGATAGTGTATTGTTTTCAACATAGAATTAACGTTACAAATTATAGATCGTAATTACGATTTTCATTTATCACCGTACTCTCCTTGTATCCTATCCAATAAATAAATGGATTGTCCGTCATACGGAAGTCGCAGGAATAAATATAATTAAAGATGTTTCGTCGCTAAGCATATTGTAAATAATGCGCACTATTCTGTAAGATATTAAGTTTTTAATTCTATCGAATGATGAAGTTCACAGGTAGAATTGATTATTGAGTTCCAAATCCTATATTAAAGTTCCTAGTTCCTCGCAGCGGTCATCTTTATTTATGACGTCAGAAGCGGGAAAATACATGTTAAGAATTCTTGCAAGATACGTAGAAATAAAATATGTTTACGAAATAATACTTGTGAGCGATTGAGCAGACCCGTGAAATAGCCCGAATACTTATATTTTGCTCTAACAATCAATAAATAGCTGAAAAATTAACATAAAATTATGAGAGAAGGTTGAAAGAAAAGCTTACTTAGTATATTAATTTTACGATTATTTATTCATTATCCGAGCAACAGATAAATATTCATAGTATTTTACAAATCTGCTTGATCGATTGCAAGTGTCATCTTATGAACAGTTTTTCATTTCAACATCTTTTTTTTAAGAATTTAGCGCGCATTTTCTCGCTTCCAACATCATAAATCAAGAATTCCGCGGCAAGGAGTCTGAAATCTTAAAGCTCCTGGATACTCGCATCGTCCATCTCTTTCTAATGACATCAAAAGCGAGAAAATGCATGCTGAAAATTCTTGCAAAACACATTGAGATATAAAAATATATCCACAAAGTGACACTTATCAAATTAAGCACATCTCTGAAATATTCCGTATACTTTCCTTTTATTCTATCAATAAATAATCGTAAAATTAATGACAGAATAATGAGTAAATTAGGTTAAAAAATAAGGTTATATGTCACATTAATTTTATGATTACTTATTGATTGTTAGAACAAAAGTGTTTGGAAGATTTTAGAGGTGTGCTTAATAGATTACAATTATCATTTTGTGGATATATCTTTTTATCTCAACGTATTTCGTAAGAATTTTTAGCATGCGTTTCCTCGCTTACGATGAAGAAAAAGAGATAAAGAATGTGAGTTAAGGATATTGAGTTTATTACGAATTAGATATTATTCTTTAAGAAATTATTTTGAGGCATTCTTTTTTTTGTTATCAAATGAGAGATCTCATTGAATTATATGCGCAGTTAAGAAAGAAATTTTAAAATACATTTATTAATGTATGCGATATTTGTTTACAATTTACAACAGATAAGGTTACACATCATTTTGCACTTCCAACTCGTTCCATTTTAAATCTGCTCACCATTCTTTTGCCGTTTTTCTTTTCTACAGTATTGTTTAGGGATGTAACTGCTTTCTTTTCTAGGATATCTTTCACTACCTACAAAATATATTTTTATGTGTATTGGTTGTACACAATCAACTTTTAGCATATATTATATTCAATTAATACTATTATTTGTACTCACAGAAGTATATGCAGATGTTTGAACATTACAACGTTCATCTTCTGTATCTGTACTGCTGTCTTCATGTGGGGGAGGCACCACTTGATTGGGCAACATATCATTTGGAGATCTCTTTAAGATAGGCTTTATGGGTTCGCCAAACATTTTATAAATATCTATTGGACTCTGAATTTCCGCATTATTTGACTCAGGTACATGTGGAATATAGGATGAAGGTGAAAACTCAATTTTGATATCTTCATCGTTTTCGTCATTACACGTGTTGTCTTGTTCCACAAAATGAGACACTTCAGATATCAACGATTCATCATTTCCACTAGTTTCTTCGTCTGCATTACTTTGATCACACGGTTCCACAAACGATACTCTTTTCTTTTGCTTTATATTTGTGTCTTCAGATGTATTTTCCGATTCAGTTGAGCAACTGTTCTTCGACTCCTTCTGAACAGAACTTGGTGTATGATTGGATTGTTCGCTTTTTGTAGAATTTGTATCAAATGTTTCGTCTTGAGCTGCGTCGCAAGAGTTTGATATGTTTGACGTATCATTCATGGCTTTATTTCTACAAGAATCATTTAATTTTTTTAATTCTTCTTGGAGCATCTCCATTGTTATTTCGTCAGAATCCGACGTATCGTCGTCCTCCTCGTCGTAAACTTCATCCTCTTCCAAGTCATCACTATGGAAGTTTTGTCGTTCAGTCTCCAACCTGCAATCATATTTTAAGATTAAAATTATAAATAAATTACAACTATTAGTTAGAATAAATGTAGAAATGAATAACCTGTATTTTTCATCTTCTAGTTCTTCTTCTAATTCCAACTCATCAAGCCTCCTAAAAAGATCTTCCTCTATAGATTTGTCATTCTTTTTCTTTTCTTTTATTTCAGCTAATTTTTTATGATACTCCTTCTCACGCTCTCTATGTTGTACTACAAAGAGTTTTAATTTTAATATCTTACATAATACAAAAAAGATGCTTCTTAAAAAAATATGTATTACTTACTTCTCCATTCATCAAGTTTTTCCTCATCCACATGTTCAAATATATCTTTCTTATCTTGATCACCAAAGAAATCTTCCATTACCAGAGTTTGTTTCATCTCATAAAGATTCCTCTCAGCTTCTAAACGCTTCAATGTATCATCAGCAACTGAAATGTAAATATGTAACAACTGTAATATTTAATGTAAAGCTAACAACAAAAATACATGTGTACACTATTTATACTTGATATTCTTCTGTTGCACAGCTCAATTGCTTGTGATGCGCTGTATTTTGCAAAGTAACCATCTCCTAGACAAGCCAAAACCTCATTGGTATGAATTAACTTTCCTTTCATGAATGCTAGCTTGCCAATTGGTACCATACAATTCTCAGATACAGACAATGGGAATTGCTGAAGCCCTTCTATTACTTTTTTATGTCTGTTCTTGTAGCCGGTCCATGTGTAAGTGTCATTCTTATTTTGTTCAAGTTTCTGTAATACATCAACTTTTGGTTACTATACGTAAATACATAAAGTAATACAAATAATACAAAGGCAATAAAAATATGCAAAATCTAATTGACAAATCTATAAAATAATATATACCCCTTTAAACACACTGCTTAATAATACATAGCTGTTATTTGTTAACGTGTTTTTAATTTCTTCAGTTTCTGATTTTACTGCTGGTTCACCCATTTTATATTATTATACACAAAAGATTAAATATCTTTAAAATCCTAAAATAAAATTAGAAACATTATAGTAAAAGAGTACGCTTTTGAAAGTATGTACAAGAGCTGCTTTCCAATATAAGGAAACAAGTATATTTTGTATCTAACTTATTGTAGCAGTATGAATTAGTTCAAAAAATTCTTCGAAAAATATCAAACCTTTATACATTGCTAGTATTGAAAATTTGTAGTATATGCAACACGAGCTATAGATTTTCAGTACTAGTGAATATCGGAACGCAACCACAACACAGTCGCAACCACACAGTCGCAAGTTCGTTTTGAGCAGGTTGTAAACCGAATATAAACTTGCACGCGTGCGCGAAAATTCATTAATAAACGCGCCATCTCTGGACCATTTGTGCAGCATTCAATCACAACGTGTTTTGTCGATAAAATTATACGCGCAATTTAGGGTGCGTTCGTTTTGGGCGCTTATGCGCTATAAGCGTCATTCTATCTTCTTCCCGCATATAATGAGCGATAAAGATAGAATAACGCTTACAGCGCGTAAGCGCCCAAAGCGAACGCAGCCTTACTGTAACTTATGATTGAGATTTTGGTTTGCTAAATCTTGAAAGATGAAACTTTAAAATATTTTATTATATTTTTATAGATTATTATTATAATAATACAAAATCAATAAATCTTATCATAATCTACAACAGCACATTTTGACATCATGCGATGTAAAAAATACATATCAAAACTTATCGATTAATTGTAAGATGTGTTGTTGCTCTGCTTCTTTCCATTCCATATCGCCAGCATCTCCTAAATTACCAGCGTACTCTAAGGAACATTATGTACATGTCAACAAATACATTATTTTAATATAAATTTAATTTGTAATTAACTCACACATAATTTACCTCTCATAATGTGTCGAATTGTTTTAAGAGATGCTCTTCTCTGTGCTAAAATTCTAGTTACTCGTTGCTTGACAGCGGGTGGACAACCAGTGCAAGCCTCCAAAAGTACATAATCTACTAATTGCAATATAAATAATCCGCCATCTAATCTCCTCAAATAGGATTCCTCCTCATCTTCATCCTCCTAATAAAAATATATAATAACAGAAAATAGTATCTTCAATCATTTTTAAACAAGTGTCTTTAGCCATTTATCTACCTTTCCAGTCTTTTCTACTTCCTCCACTTTCTCAAGATACTTAAAATGTAGTTCCATCAATCGATCAACTTTCTCATAATCATTCTCTGTAAATTTACTGAGTAACCTCTGACGCTGTTGACCTTTACAATTTCTCAACATGCTCGCTATAATCGAAACTACGTGTTCTACAAAATTATTACTTAATTAAATTATATAATTTCGCATAAGTTGTTTAATATACATACTGATATTCCATATTTCATCCGTACCTTCGTGCTCCTCAGCAGTAAGCATTTTTTTTCTATTTTTCGTCGGAGTCTTCATAAACAGAGGAAATATAGTCCGCAGTCCAAGAATATCTACAAACTTGCTGCAGTTGTCTTTCCCGTCTGGACCATTCATAGCGTAATCTAACACCTGGAGAATTAAACATAATTTATGATCAATTGAATCCAGCATCATGCATACCACACACAAGTTTACCTTGAGAGATCCATTCCTCGACATCTTCTTCTCCCGTAACATCAAGTTCATAAGTTGGAGACCTTCACCGCGCAGGAACCTGTCACGATTTATGGTGGCCATCAGGCTCGAGCATAAAACATTAAATAAGTTCTCCATCATCTCTTGTTCTTCGGCAGTTTGCGGGTCGTGTCTTTTGTAATACTGCGGATAATTAATTTCGAGAAATCCTTAGAAGTTGAAAAATGCAGAACATAGAAATTTACAAGAGAGTGAGTGTACGCACAGCTAATTGTTGTAGCAAAACGTCAATGCCGTCTAAATCACCGAGAAGAAGTTTATTTTCTGGTGTATGCTGTAAAAGTATAGACAACAGTTCGCTGGCGTAAAGTTTGTTTGCATCGAATGGCGATTTCGCCTTAATTCGGCGCAGCAACCATTGCATCAGACCTTGCTTGCCTGCATCCACGCACAGATCTGGTCGAAACTCGAGAAGGTTCTCAAAAATAGCTGAAAATCAATACCACTGTTGAATGGGTTGAACAAAGTGTCTCGTGCGATTCTGCCAGATATAAAGTGATAAACGATATTCACGCGTTTGTTGAGTAATTACCAAGTGTATTGTAAACACCATCACTCTCCTCTTTCACTGCTTCATCGAGTCTCTCAAGATTCTGTACTAAAAGGGCACAAACTTGTTGCTCCAATAAAGCGTCAATGAGAGTGTCTGCGCCTTCTTGACTCTCATGCAAGATATCAACATCAGTCAATTCTTGAAGAAGATCCACCACACCAACAGCTATATCTGTATTCTCATGAGATAACAATTCAAGCAGAGAAGGCACAGCACCTAATTCCACCATCAGCTGATACAAATCTGGATTGGCTGCTATAATATGAAGTTCTTGGAGAGTTTCGTGCAATTCAACCTCAGACTCCATAAATCTGCAAAAATTCAAAGCAAGATTAGGATTTCCACTTGCAAAGATACCAGTTCTGATATGTTTACATACTTCTCTGGCTGATCTGGAAACTTGACTCTCATCTCCTGATTTCTGAGAGCTCTCTTCTCAAACAAAAGAATCATTCGTTTGAGGGTGGCCTCATCCAGCGCTTCGACTTCAGGTGCTTCAGTTTCTACATATTTTAAAATATCTTCCTTTTCTTTCTCTGTTAATTGTGGTTCCACCACATCTTGTGCCGGTGAAGGTGTAGCAGTTCTAACAGGAGTAGGGGGCTCACTGTCTCTGGGTGTTCCTATCTCAACTTCCTTGACCTGCCTTTGACGCGCATGATACGGTGTTTTGATTACTCTTCTTGGTTTCTTGGCACTCTCCCATTCATCCTCATCATCCTCTTCCCCTGCTGCTGGTCGTTTGGGTGTATTTGGAGGCTGTACAAATTATGGACACTGTAAAACTTGGAGACCTTGCAATGCGAACTAATTTGCAATTGATAAAACATTGATTACGAAAAATCCTGAAGAAAAAATGAACAAAACATAAGAAATAGGTTAAATAATACATGTGTCACTTTGAACACATCCTAATTATGACTGAAAAACTTTGACACATACTTTGTACGATAACAATTCCCCGATATCCATTTTGCGGACGAAATAGGATACTTATAATTTAACAGGCGGTAACTGTAATAAAATTTAAAAGATCAAACACATATTTCGTATAATGCGATGCTTTGTGGATGTTTGGCCATGGACACATCGCGTAGTACGACTCCACGACAGATCGGACGGATCAGCAGAAGTAAAATCCTGTTTTCAATCGACCAATGACGTATATATGACATATATGTATAAATAAATCGAGGATTTTAACTTTTGTGATGAAAGGTTCTTATGGATAGGACTATATATTTCGTAATAGAAGATGCCGGATTGTTACGCGAAATAATGGCTGCGTTCAGCAAAGAAAGTTACTTCACAACTGTGTAAAATTCATGAATCTGATCGTGAAGAGCATACATGCTCTTGGATTTAACCAAAATTAAGAGCATACTCCAATCAGATTCACAAGTTTTACAACAGTTGCAAAGCAGCTTTCACTGCTGAACGCAGCCAATGGATGCAACTTAACAGTTGCACAACAATTGAGCAATTCGTCAATGGGCCCGTTCTGCGAAAAAAGCGCTCAGTGAGCAATCAACGATTATTGGTTCTTACTGTTAGATCCCTAAATGTAGACCAATTATATTAACGAATTGCTCAACTGTTGTGCAACTGTTGAATTCGCTGAACGCACCCAATGGGCGCATTCAGTAGAAAAAGCGCTCAGTGAGCAATTAACGATTATTGGTTCTTGCTATTAGATCCCTAAATCTAGACCAATTACATTGACAAATTGCTCAACTGTTGTGCAACTGTGAGTTCGCTGAACGCACTCATTGGTAGGAGCTATTTAAGTCCCATTCGCAAATACGCTGCTATTGCTGCTGCTACTTTTGCTGCTGTTGGTGGATGAACGCGAAACAAATAATGGTGGATCCGTGTATTTTGTTATTACTGATTATTACGTGTATACGATAATGGCTATTTGTATATCAGCGCGTAAAACAAGACGTTGGTTCTATTTTCGAAGATGCTCCAGATGAGACGCGTCGTAATTGCGAAACGACGCGTATAACGTGGAACTGAACGTCAAGCCGAGACGTTTGTGTCATAACGGAGTAAATAGTGATATTACGTATCTGCACGCGCCTACTTGCATCCATTCATCTACCTAACCGAGAATTCGTCGACGTTGCGTTATCATTCTTTCGTATATTCTTTCTCGCTGCAAAACGGGAAAAAAATGAACCGCAGGTTCACCAAGAGACACAGACGAGCCAGGAGACACTTTTGATAATGTTTCCTACTTCCTCTTTATAATGTAAGATAGATTAACGCTGGTGGTCGTGCTGCACGTGCGTGTTATTTGTGTGCCTGACGGAGAGTATATACCGATTGTTATTCATCATGGTGCATATACCGAGCGCGTACGCCTACAACTTCTGGTCGGAGAAGCCAGAGCCTGCAGTGGTGGAGATTACGTTCCTCATGCCAAATGGTGTTGTTATACCAGTAGAAATCAATCGCAATAGCACTGTGACAGAGATCAAAGAGGTAAACATTTTCTAGTTATATCCAGTATTTCACACATATTTATTTCATTAATGTATCAGTATGTACTCATAATGCCGATTGTTTTTCTGATATATATTTTAACTATCTTCTTAGATTGTACTTTAGAACATTCTTTCTGAGAAAAATTTTATTGAAAATCTATAGTTTATGTTATATATATTATAGATTTTCAGTAAAATTTTCGTCAAAGAGGATATTTTGGAATGCAACCTTAATGTCTTTTACTGATATCTCTTACTTCAATATCTTCTTCTTATCTTAATATTTTTTCATCAATTTTTCATCAATTTAATATATACTTTATAACTTTATAAGTTTTTCTTATAATATTCTTTTTTTTATATTATTAAATTCTTTAATATTTATATTTATGCAAGGATATAAACATAATAATATTCAACAGGAACTCTGGGAAGAGGCTAGCAAATATCCTCTCCATGGGACACTGAAAGATGCACCATCGTATATGTTCTCATGCATCAATTCGAATTCAGAGGTAGAAGAATTGCGCGATGAAACTAGACGTCTCTGTGATATAAGGCCCTTTTGTGCGATATTAAGAGTTATAGAACGTGAAGGTATAAAGAGTGATAGGAATTTAGACTCTCAAATTGGCCTCCTGATTGGCAAAGGCTTGCATGAATTCGCTGCCTTAAAGAATTCTGAAGTCAATGACTTCAGATGGAAAATGCGCCTCTTGGGAGACGAGGTGGCGTTAGATAGACAAAAGAAATCTTGGGTGGAGAAAGTACAGTATCAGTTTCCATCCAGGGTAGCACCTGTTCCTGCTGTGTCCAAGAATATCGAGAGTCGTTTAAAGGATGGAAATATTGTCCTGGTGACGATTAAATTCGAGAATTCTGATGTAAGGAAAACACTATTATTATTATTATTATTATTATATATATTATATTATATATATTTATATACAGAAGGTGTCTCTGACAATTATTGACACACTCATTGTATACATTAGAATTCATCAAACTAATCACAAAATTCCTTTACTATTTTGCAAATAATATGATAGATATTTGAGTTAATAATTACAGAAGATGACGGACAACCATGTACAATCATTCACCAATCTTCTCTAATCAATAATTTAAAAATCTATGTGTTATTTGCAAAATGGTAGAGGACTTCTTTGTTTAGTACAACTAAATCTACAAGCAAGCGTTGCCGCAAAACGCGCATCGCTCATCAATCTTTTTTAGTTAATAACTCAAAATTTTATATAGTTGTTTGCAAGATGGTAGAGGTTTGTTTTGTTCAGTTTGATCCAATCTACCTGTACACCGTGACTCCGTAGCGAATTATCGCGGGGACACTCTGTATATAAAAAATATATTTCACGAAAACGGATTATCCCACCGACGAATTCTTTCAGTCGGTTTATCCACGAATGCATTTATCTCATTTCAGACAGCGTTTACCTTTCAAATACCACACACCACCACACCGTACCAATTGCTCGGACTGATCCTGAACAAAAGGGCGAATACTCTTAATACTCGCGGTGAACACCCCAACGACTTTACGCTTAAGGTTTGCGGACAAGAGGAATACTTGATCGGCGAACTTCCGCTTATACAGTTTAGTTATATTCAAGATTGTCTAGCGAAAGACATCACACCTACGCTGGTTACGCTCAGCATACAGAGCATAGCCGTGGACCAAGATAACGCCTTCGACAATCCAGACGCGGACACGTTGCAGCGCACGAGACCGTCTTTTTCTACGCTTACGCTGCGCAAAAAGGGCAAGCATATCTCGGCGTGGAAAATCGACGATCCCTTCTTTTTTACTGTAAATGGAATTTCTCGGCTTAATTGCGACGCCGCTCATCGTACTGTAGAGGTATATTCTGCACATCAAAATCTCCCTAAGTCTTTTCTGGCAATCTATTCAATCATCTTCGACAACAATCCTAACTTTTGTTCGTTACGCAATACTATTCTGATACTAATAAGCTTTGTGATACTTGCGTATTATTTTAATATTTATTTTCTTTCAAATAAAGTAATAAAGCTAAATTGTAGCAATAATCACTTTCGAGATAAATATTTCTAGATTGGCATAAAAAGTGAGATAATATATGAATAAATATTGCGGAAATTCATTGCATTTTACAATACATATAAATTTACATATAAATTTAATAATTTACTAGATATTTTGTAATAATAATTTACTAGATGTCTTTGCTTTTCCAGCTGGAAATCGGCATGTTTAAATTTCTTTTCATTTGATTACTTTTTTTTTATTACTTACTGTTATTTTGTACTGTAATACATATACTATAATTTTTGCTGTCTTATGATTTATATAATCTTTTCAATTGTTTCTTTGTATTATTTTAGCGTGATTCTTGTATTATTCTATTGGTTCAATTTATTACTTCTTGTATTTTGTATTTTATTTTATATTGTTTTTGTTATATTTTGTTTAACTGCTTCAAATAGTCAATACCATTATTCAGTTTTTGCCATCAAGCTCATCAAATATTGTTACTGATTGTGCTAAAATATGTAATATCTTTATAGAGTTTCCTTTGAAGCTAATAATACATTGCTGTTCTCTCTCTCTCTCTCTCTCCCTCTCTCTCTCTCTCTCTCTCTCTCTCTCTCTCTCTATTGTATTTTCTATAAAGATAAGATCTTGTCTTGAGACAAGATTGATTTATATGATTCTTATGACTTTTGTCATTATTCCTCTTTTCAAATACTCATCATCACTTATATGTAGATTGGACTACAAGCCGGCCTTTTTCACGGTGGGAAATCCCTCTGTGAGAGTAAAAAAACTAGAGAAATCGTCGTGAGTCCCGACGGTAGTTGCGAATGGGAGGAGGTTCTCAGATTCGACATTAAAGTACGAGACATACCGCGTATGGCACGGTTGTGCTTCGTGTTATACGAAATCAGCAAGACTGCAAAGGGTCTGAAAAGCAGAAAATTAGTTAAGGATTCGAAGCAAGAATTCTTCATCAATCCTTTGTGCTGGGCAAACACGACGATATACGACTTCAAGTCCCAGTTGAAGACTGGCGCGATGACATTATATACGTGGACATACGCGGAAGATATGCAAAATGACGATTTGTTGCATCCACTCGGGACAGTGGTTTCCAATCCTCACATAGACAGAGCAGCTGCTCTCATGTTGACGTTTCCAAAGTAAGTGATCTCTGTCTCTTGCGTGATGCACATTATATTGTATTCATTTACTGTTACCGTTATCATTACTGTTGCAGTTACGGAAAAGACAAGTGCGTCCTTTACCCTACACTGGAGAAAATGGTCGAGTACGCCCGAAAGTTGCGGGAATCGTCCAACGAACGCTCCATTGTGGTGGAGGAATTGAATAAGGACGACGTCAGTCAACAACAATTGGAACAATTGAGATTATTGGCCGACAGAGATCCGTTACATGAGTTACACGAGCAGGAGAAGAAAATCATGTGGTCATTGAGACATCATTGTCTCCGTGAGATCCCGGCGCTTCTAGCTAAGCTGTTGCAGTGCGTAGAATGGAACGATCACAGGTGAGAAATCGATTTGTCGTTTGCAAAATGATTCATACGAAGTGACAGATAAATCGGGCTGACTTATTGGACATTTTTTGTAGAGAAGTCGCGGAGGCGATGGCACTTATACAGCAATGGCCTACGTTGCCAGTAGAGAAGGCTCTGGAGTTGCTGGACTACGCTTACGCTGACCAAAACGTTAGAAATTTTGCGGTTGGCTGCTTATATAACGTCACCGACGACGATCTCAGTCTTTACTTACTGCAATTGGCTCAAGCTTTGAAGCACGAGAGTTACTTGGCGTGCGATCTGACGGAGTTTCTCCTAAGACGTGCACTCAAAAATCAAAGGATAGGACATTATCTATTCTGGCATCTCAGGTTAGAAATCTGTGACAATTTGTACGTTCCGCTGATCTCTTTTAAGATTGTCTCGTTCCCCATTCATTCAAGTCCTCGAAAATTGCATTAGGTCGGAAATGCAAGTTGGTGCAGTGTCCGTTCGTTTCGGCCTCATACTTGAGGCGTACTGCAGAGGAAGTCAACAGCACATGCGATCGTTGTTCAAACAGATGAAGTGTTTAGACAAATTGAGGAACGCCTCGGAACAAGCGAAACAGAAGAAGGATCGTAAGGTGGCTCTTCAGGGCTTCCAAGACTTCATCCAGGAACCACACTGCCAAGAAGCATTATCCGATATTCTCAATCCACTCGATCCAAGTTTTAGGTGGAATCGTATCAAGTGAGCTTACCATTTTTCGCTCATTGAACGTGATCCCTTCCTGCATCTTGTGATCTCAATCTTTTCTCTTGTTGTCATTTATAGAATCGAAAAATGTCGAGTGATGGATAGTAAAATGCGACCACTCTGGTTAGTTTTCGAGAACAGCGATCCCTTTGGCGACGATATCTACTTAATTCTCAAACACGGTGATGACTTGAGACAGGACATGTTGACGCTTCAAATGCTGCGCATCATGGACAAACTGTGGAAGAAGGAAGGCTTGGACTTACGCATGAATCCATATGGTTGCATATCCACGGAAAGCAGGGTCGGTATGATAGAGGTGGTGTTGAACGCGGAGACGATTGCGAACATTCAGAAAGAAAAGGGCACGTTCTCCGCAACGGCGGCCTTCAGGTATGGTGTATCGTATTACACGAACATTAATAATACAGTCAGATCAAAGTACTTTTCTTTTTCTTTCTGTTCAGGAGAGGTTCCTTGTTGGCTTGGCTAAAAGATCACAATCACTCAGAGGCGGCATTGAACAAGGCTATCGAGGAGTTCACTTTGAGCTGTGCCGGCTACTGCGTTGCCACCTACGTTCTCGGAATAGCCGACAGGCATTCCGACAATATAATGGTCAAGAAAACCGGTCAACTGTTTCATGTCGACTTCGGTCATATTTTGGGCCACTTTAAAGAGAAATTCGGATTCAGACGTGAACGCGTTCCCTTCGTTCTAACCAATGACTTTGTACACGTTATAAACAAAGGTCAGACAAAAAAGGGACACGCAGTCGAATTTCAAAGATTTCAAAGTCATTGTGAGCAAGCCTTCCTCGTCCTGCGGCAACATGGTGGACTTATACTGTCTCTATTCGCCATGATGATATCCACTGGACTGCCTGAACTCTCGTCGGAGAAAGATCTGAATTATCTCAGGGACACTTTGGTACGTATCGCCGTGAAAATATTAGTACACTATGCTAAAAAATGATACCGAATGTATCGAGTGCTAAATGGACGAAACATTCAACTGAATTCCTCGTATCCTTGCAGGTTCTAGAGATGTCAGAAAGTGAAGCACAAAAACACTTTAGAAGTAAGTTTGACGAGGCCCTCTGTAACTCGTGGAAAACGTCGTTAAATTGGGCGTCGCATAATATGTCCAAGAACAATAAGACGACGTGAACACTAACACCGTAATCGTACAGTGCGATAGGTTAATTTCCAATTTAAGGATCTACGTAACTCGTGGATGTTGCGGCCACGACGGGTTCTTACCGATGTCGAGACGTATGTTCTCGATTTGCCTGTAAATAAGTAAGCCACAACAGAGCCGCGAGATGGTAGAACAAAAGCTGCCGTTTTCGCTACGACCTCATAGTCGTCAGGGAATCCGGCGGCCGTAACCAGTATACTATTAAGACTGCATAAAGGGAAGAAACAAAAAGAAGCAAGCGATCGTCACTAGCGTCAGCGGACGTCGCGTCTGCGGTGCTATCGAGAGGTGATCTAGAGAATAGTAGTTCTAGTGTATGCGATAGTTCCGTAACATTTTTTTTCGGAGTTTTTTTTAGTCGCTAGGCAAGCAGTCTAGGTGCCTACGTTCATAGTGTAGTACATTTCTTAACGATGGACGTACGGTACATATCATCAAACAAGATTCCGCGCATTTTTTTACTCTTTGGTTCGCTTGGTCCAAGACAGCGCTCAGAGGATGCCATCGATGTAGATCGTTTTATTCTCTTTTCTTTGCGAACTTCACGATAGTTCGAGGATAATTAAACGACATTGATTTGCGTGACAAACGCGTGGAGTATCGTTGAAGCTCCTGATCCCGCCTGCCGCGGCCATCTTGATTCATGACATCAGAAGAGAGAAAATACACGTTAAATATTCCTGCAAAATATATCGAAGTAAAATGATATTTGTAATCGATCGAACAGAAAATAGTCCGAACACTCATCTCTTGTTGTAACAGTCAATAAATAGCCGCAAAATTAACATGACAAAATCATGAGGAAAGGCAGATTAAAGGGGAAACTTACATGTCACATTAATTTTGCGATTGTTTGAATAAAAAGAAGATGTTAGGGCTATTTTACAAGCCTGTGATTGATTGTAAACGTCATTTTATTGATATATCTTTTTATTTCAACGTTTTGCGAGGATTTTTAACGTCATCAATCAAGAATACTGTATATATTTTTGGCGTCATCAATCAAGAATACTGCGGCGAGGAGCCTTAAGCCGTGAGAGTTTTACTATTCTTTCAATCAGATCATTGTACAAATGATCGAATAAAAGGAGACCGATCTGAATTGGTACCCTACGCCGTAGATATTCTTGTCACATCACGTTTTCTAACAGATTGATTCGTCGAACATAATGGAAGAACAGATGCGCCATGACGCATTAGGTGCATTCAGTACTAACATCAACCGTTCACTAAGCGCCCAGTGAGCTTTCGGATTTTATCGGCTTGTACTTTTAGATCTTGATCAAATCTAGAGATATGCACCGACTGAATCCAAAAGTACGTTTAATGAGCGCTTGTGTGTAGCACTGAATTCACGTATAATTTAGTCGTACTTTGCAAAGTACTAAGAGTTCGGCGATCGTATTCAGTAGCGGACAATATATACGCTTGATTCCGATGACAGACAGTGTGATAATCCAGAGCAATATTTATCTCGCGATGCTACACGCGGTCGACACCTTTCCTGGCAAAAGTGTCGCCGGTCGAGAGCGCGATTGTCTTGGCGCGAGCTCGATCGAAGTGTGACCGTTATTAATTTCTCTCATTACAAACGAACGCAATGATGCGAACACCTGTAAAACTAATCACCAATTCGTATAAATATGCCTACCATAACCGAGAATATTTTTCCTACATGACGTGTATATGTACGAATGTTCATTTCTTATTTAATATAGAGGAACAACATTTCATGCTAGTGACGTTGGGATTTTCTATTGTCGTTATCACGCGTGCCACGCAACTTTTGTATTAGCTATAGTCGAGTTAGTAGGGCCCATGATATATCAGCGCTGTCCTACGCGAAAGCAAAAAGAAAAGAAGAAGAAATCTTTCCCAGAAAGAAAAGAAGAAACGATTCTCGATCGCGAGTACGCGCGCGCTCACGTGTAAGATAAGGTAAATGATCTCTAATTACGCGATACATAGGAGAAGTAAATGATGTGGCAGACTGTGCGCCAACGCCGCATCCATATCATCCTCTTACTGCGTCTCATTTGCATATTAAACAAAAGAAATTGTTCGATGAGAACGAAAGAGAAAACTTTATAGATAATATTATACATATACGTATATGATATACACACGTATGTATCCCCAATCGAAAAGTCTCGTGCGAATTTTTGTATCTCGCGTCGCGTTCGATTTCACACGACGGATCCGTGAAACCCCGCCGGCACAGATAGGGCTGCGAACCGTCAGCGGGGAACCGACAAAGGGAGAGGGAGAGAGAGAGAGAGAGAGAGAGAGAGAGAGAGAAAGAGAGAGAGACACGTCGCGACACACACACACACACATGTATCACGACACACACGCACTCATATATATCATGGGCACGGTGGTTCATGCACCGCATCACGCACATTTTAAGATAGGCGTTCGCGCGCGTTCTCGCGTTGTACGTCGTCGTACGAGGAGGAGGACGATATATCGAGCTGTTCGTGCGATCTCATCGAGCGTGTTTTCCACTATCGGGCAATAATCGCGCGTGCCGCTTTCACCACTGTTTCCTTTCTCTACCGTTGAATAATTTGTATCTTTTTTTTTTCTTTTTTTTGTAAGGATATCGAAATATATAATTTTGTACAATACATACGTAGGTCTGTATCGGTCAGTGTCTGTTGTAAATAAAATCACTTTCGAAATCCTTGTGTACACTTGTGTCAAATTGCGGTCGAATGCAGAGGGAGTCGGCGAATACCAAGAGGAAAAACACGTTCCGCACATGTGCTGTTAGATCAGAAATTGGCGAGAACGACCTGTCTCGCTTTGGTCAGCCGTGAAAGCATCCGTTGGATGCTAGCGAGGACTACTGGACCGGAGGAAGGGCCCCGCAAAACGACGTCGAGTACAATGACGGCTGCCGAGGAAACAGAGCCGCTGATATCCACAACGCAGACGTCCTCTGTGAATAAAATTCAAAGAGTCACTTACAACACGATTTCTTTCGTAAGTACGAACGCACAAAGCGAGACTTAATCGTACGTTAATCAGATTAAGAAGTCAATGCTTTCCCGACGTGCAAAGGTTCAATGTTAAACAAAATTTGCGATCTTTTTTTTCTAAGTATGGAAACGTTGAACAATAACATGTTGAAGTGTCGATCGCATGTGTGTCCCTGTGAGTTCAATTGAAATTGGAAAATCATTTTTTAATGAAAAGGCGCTTTCTCTCTATCTTGCTCTCTATTTATCTCTTTCTCTTATAGGTATATTTTTTGTGCACTCGCTTTGCTTTAGGTATCTTACTGTACTTCTTAAACCCAGACGACGACCGCGACATGGCTTCGTTTCAACCCTTTGACTATTTCTAATAGGATTTGCTTATCTGGGTTTATTTACTTATTTACAGCGTGTAGTACCTCAATGCTATACAAGAGAAACATAGAATAGTGTATTATATTTATTCCGTTATGTTCTATACTTCCTTATTTCTCTCTACTCTCTCTTTCTCTCTTGCATTATATTAAAAAAATATATTTGTAATTCTTATAGGACGGTATCGAAAGAGATATATCGCACGATGGAAGCCCGGAGACTTCGTTTAGTTTGAGACCAATTTCAAACCTGTCGACAAACGTAAATTTCAACAATGAAATCGCCAATAATAAAATCACGTATACATGGAGCGACGTGAACGTGTATCTCAACACGAAAACTGATAAGATTTGGGATCGAATAATGTTCAGGCCCAGGAAACCCGTCGCGCAGAAACACATATTGGAAGATGGTACAGATGAAGATCACGCAGCTCCTTATTATATGTATATTAAACCTCAAGTACTCACTCCGTAAGAAATTACACAGTTATTCGACTCAATCATTTTCGAGTCTACAAAAAGGAATCTTCTTTTCTTTCTCGGCAGAATTTGATCATAAAAGATTTCATCCTAGACTAGAATCTTTTCATCGTGTGTAATGAAAAAATACGCATGAAAGATGAATATTTTGAGTAAGAAATAAAGATCGAACAAGACCCGAATATGGAAGATTTTAAATACTTGAGGATCGAATCGCGGATGACGCATCGATACTAACAGCTGGTTTCTTCGGTGAAAATACGTTTCAGTGTGCGGGGTCGCTTATCCTGGCGAGCTGCTCGTGATCATGGGTGCGTCAGGTGCTGGCAAAACGACCTTGCTGAACACGCTGACATTTCGTTCAACTCGCGGAGTATCTGCATCCGGTCTGATGGCCGCTAACGGCCAAAGAGTATCGCCGGATATGCTCACTTCGACGATGGCTTACGTGCAGCAGGACGACTTGTTCATCGGCACACTCACCGTGGTGGAACACTTGACGTTTCAGGCAATGGTGCGGATGGATCGCCGAATACCTTGTCACCAGAGGATTAAGCGAGTTAACGAAGTTATTGAGGAGGTAAAACACATCATACAAACACCTGATGCATACTACCATCCCTCACTTCATCCTCTATCTCTCTCGAGAACAGTTAGCCCTATCGAAGTGTCGCAACACTATAATCGGTGTGCCCGGCAAGGTGAAAGGTCTCTCGGGAGGAGAGATGAAGAGATTGTCCTTCGCCTCCGAGGTGCTGACGGATCCTCCGCTGATGCTCTGCGACGAGCCGACGTCGGGCTTGGACTCCTTCATGGCTCATCAGGTTGTTTCTATCTTGAAGGCGTTGGCAGGTGAGTCGTCGGTATGGCACGGAAGCCTTACTGAAATCACCGACACAGATGTGAAACATACACAATCGCAAATAAATAATCGAACGATTCCAACAGCACGTGGTAAAACGATCATCGCCACCCTACATCAACCTTCGTCAGAGCTCTTCGCTCTTTTCGACAAGATCCTGCTGATGGCCGAGGGGAGAGTCGCCTTCATGGGTACCGCCGTGCAAGCTTGTTCCTTCTTCGAGACGTAAGTTCAAACTCGAAAAATTCACTTTTAAGAAGTTTCATTGATCCTTATATCTGAAAATTATGCGCTGGAAAGGAAAGGTAAAACGTCACAATTTATAAGCGTAGCTTTTTGTTTAACTATCTTGTCAGATAGCAATTTTTATCGTTGCCACTTGGCTATCTCTTTCGCAGGCTCGGCGCCGCTTGTCCCAATAACTACAATCCCGCCGACTATTTCGTGCAAATGTTGGCAATTGTACCGGGACGCGAATTGGCTTGCAGACACGCAATAAAAACGACGTGCGACAATTTCCAAAAAAGTGATTACGGCCTGAAAATTGCCTCAGTGGCAGAAACTGTCCACAGCGACTTCGAGGATTCTCTCAAGAGGCTGAAACTCTCACAGTCCAGCGGATCGCCTTACAAAGCAACCTGGTGCGAGCAATTCCGCGCGGTTCTGTGGCGATCTTGGCTGTCGATGATCAAGGAACCGATTCTCATCAAAGTTCGCCTCTTACAGACTATCGTGCGTTTCCCCCTTCGATAATCGCACACGTGATCTCGCGAAGGTGTGCGAAGGGAGACAATCTTCGTAATTTATGTCGCAGATGGTTTCGCTGCTGATCGGCGTCATCTACTTCGGCCAACGAATGGACCAGGACGGCGTGATGAATATCAACGGTGCCCTATTCATCTTCCTCACCAACATGACTTTCCAGAACGTCTTCGCGGTTATTAACGTGAGGAGAGAGAAAGAAGTATCGTATGCAAATTGGGAGAGTATCGTATGCAAATTGAAGCTGTCTAAACTGCACTCATCCGTGTGTCTTTCCCTCTTACGGCAAACAAGGGGAAACCCTTACGAAAACAAAGGGAGAACAATAGTTTGCGGCAGCTAGAATTATAAGTCGAATCGAGTTCACAATTTCAATTCTAAGAATTACCGAAAGTATGCGCGCGAGTAACTTAATGGACCAATATACGAATATATTCTGTACATAGGTATTCTGTGCCGAATTGCCGATATTTCTCCGCGAGCACAGAAACGGGATGTACCGCACCGACGTCTACTTCATCTGCAAGACACTAGCGGAAGCACCGATATTTCTCGCAGTGCCGTTGATCTTCACCGTCGTCGCGTACCCCATGATCGGCCTCTACCCTGACGTGAAACACTTCTTTATTGCTGCTGGTGTAGTAGCTCTCGTGGCGAACGTCTCGACTTCGTTTGGTAACATTGAGATTCACAGACAGCTCGCGTTGCATTATCTCCAATGATCGAAATGCATTTCTCTCTCTCACAGGTTATTTAATATCGTGCATTAGTAATGGAGTATCTATGGCCCTTTCCGTCGGTCCTCCGGTGATAATACCATTCATGCTCTTCGGTGGTTTCTTCCTGAATACAGCGTGAGTATCTGAAACGAAGAGATCAATCGATCAATCGAAATATTTGACTTTCTGTCGAATCAAAAATACCTTGTACAGCTCCATACCGTCCTACTTCGTGTGGTTTTCTTACCTATCCTGGTTTCGTTACGGCAACGAGGCACTCTTGATTAATCAATGGGCTGAAATCGACTCCATCGAGTGCACCAGAAGCAACATAACGTGTCCGAGATCCGGACGCATGGTCCTGCAGACTTTCAATTTTAAGGAGGAGGACTTTTGGACGGATATCCTTTGCCTGTTCTCGCTCATCGCAGTATTCCGTCTCCTGGCGTTTCTCGCGTTACTGTCAAAAACTTGTCGTTCGAAGTAACTCGATCGTTGTCTTGCAAACGAAGACAGAATCAACGAGAAGCAGATCTGATCTACCTTCAATAAATAATTTTTAATTACGACAATATTTCTATGAGCGAAACTTTGTTATTCATGTTTCATCCCGCTTCAATATTTGCTCATTCATTATGATGAATAAGTACAAAGTGAACAGTCACGTCAAGATGGATAAGTAGGTCGTGCATCCAGACCTACGAGTGACAATCATTAGACGCAATCTTTTCTTATGACTCATGGCGAGTATCGATTTTGACGGGCGCTCACCGCAAAAAAGGCAACGTAACTCGAGGAAATGTGCTGCTGCGAGACAACACGCAACTACACCGTTGATGTGTCACGGTGTTTCCTGTATGAGGTCCGAGTACTCGACTCAAACGCCACAGCACGCATCTGGATATCGTTACAAACCGGTTGCCATACATACCGTGCGACCGCAAATGCGATAGGATATAAGAAACAATCCTGGGAAACCTACGCGCGCGCGGCATCGTAGAAAAGGAAAGTGTCGATTGATACTACCGCGCTGATTTGTTCACTAATCTCGAGTGCAGGGTTGCGAGCAGAGTTATGAAGATATCAATTAATTCGAATTTTATTTTTTTTTATTTTTTTTTTCACAATTGATTCGAACAAATATATTTTAATTCAACTAATTAAGGATTTATTCAAGCAATATTAAATAAAGAATGATTAACGATTGATTTCAACGAATTCAATTAAAAACCGCTTCGTTGATATGAGCAAAGGAAATCAAAGATCCTTCAATTAATAATTGAACTTAGCAAATTTAATTAAAGGCCATTTAATCGACGATTGAACTTAGCAAATGTAATTAAAAGTTATTTAATTGACGGTTGATATGAGCAAATTCAATCGATTCATATCTAGTTCTGAACGTATTCTATACATGTATATAGATTTCTTTTTTTATAATGTTAAAAGTTAAAGTATTCATATTTAAAGATTAAAGCAATAAAAATATCCAAGATTAGGTACATATACGGATATACTTCTACCTTAATTAAATTTAGTAAGTTAAATCATCAATTGAACGGTCTTCAATTAAATTTGCCAAGTTCAATTATTAATTAAACGACCATCGATCCTCTTTACTCATATTAATCGCTGATTGAACGATCTTTGATCGAAACTGTTAAAACTAATCGTCAATTAGTCGAATTGAAACATTTCCTAATCAGTTTGCTCAATCATTTATTAAAATTAAAAGACAAACTAATCAAAATGTGTATGTGAGAAAAATTTTATCTCTTATAACTCTGTTAGAATGCAATTGGAAAAGGGCCGAAGACAAGGGCGCGAGATTAATTCATGATACGCGGAAGAGCGAGAAGAGTACTGTTATATCGTTGCATTGCTAAAGCCAATCACTAAAAGAACCAATGTACGATAATTCCAATAGCGAAATAAGATCGGCCCGGACTCACCACTCGTTGCACTTGTAGACGTGCATATATAGGGTTACCGTTCTCAATTACCGGCATATTCTCGTCACGAATACGTTTACTGATGCATTTTTCGGGCGCGGCAGGAAAAGCTTCAGAAACACGCTTGCGTTTACGCATCCTACACGAATAAACCTATCGATTCGCTTGCGTTAACAGTGTCGGATTACCGCATCCCGGTCGTCGTACGCGCATTGTTCGTCGTAATTGCACAGCGCTGTTACGAAATCGTTTTAAAAAAAGCTGTTTATACGAGCTCTCGATAATTGATATAATTTCACATTTTAAATACTCGACACGATTTGCCTTTGATACATTGCCCCAGTAAGAAAAATTTATTCTGGATTAATGTAGTAATTCAAATAATAATTTGTTCAGACTATCTATAAGGAACATCCTAGAAACATTCTAAGAATATTTTATTCTGATACATGAGACTTGAAACAGTCTTCGAATTTCGCTCTTTTTCTTTATTCTAAAATGTTTCTAATATATATAATTACTTGAATTGATACTACATTAATCCAAGACAAATTTTCCTCATTGGATAATTAATGTCGGCAACATTGCAACATTACTGCAATGTAGCTACAATTTGTGCTATATAGGATAGTTTTTCTAAACGTTAATTAGGTCATTCTATTTATAAGAGTAGAATGACTGAAAAAATTGAAGATCATTAAAAAGTGTATATATTTCCCGAGATATTTCACATTTTATCCTGATACTTTTCAGCATAAGATACATTTAACTGCGGTTTTTATTTTTGTAAAAAGAACAAGTACCATATTTAACTATGAAGTGCGAACTGCGACATATATTGAGAACCAAGTGGTGTATCAACAAAGCAGCTTTGTACAGCATTCCAGTGTTCGATATTGTCTATTTGCGTTTCCTTGCTGGAAAGCAAGCTGCGAGATACAGATTCTGCAATCAATGAAGTTCGAACGAGTTCACAGCATTGGCCGGCGTTCGTTGACACTGAGAGATGCAAATGAACGAAATCAACGCTGCTTTACATACGTGTGATATTTGATAGCGGAGGAAAGCACGGGAGGAACGCGGACGAAGTGCATCGGGTGAATCGAGTGGTGGCAGCGCGCCGTTATGAAGCGAACACCTCTCGCCTTAGCGCTGATCTCCCTTTCGTGTCTCGTCAGTTTCTCACCCTTCGGACACGTGTGCGTAAGGCTTCCGCCCAAGGTTCGAGTCGCACCGTCGACTGTTCCGTCGGACTTCACCGTCTTATCGTCTCGTCGTCGAAACGATCGGTATCCATGTAATCGCTCCGCGTCGTGGAAATACCTAGAAATTGAACAACAGTGAATGAGGAGGAGGAGAAGATGGTGCTAACTGGTATTCTTATACACGCTTCACGCGACAATCGATGACTCAATGATTCGCGATCGCACCTAGAGATAAGGATAACTTCCGCGAGACGATAATGCTTAAAACATTAGTTCTCCGATCCTCCGATCCTCCGATAGGAAGGATAGAATCTGTCTTAATTTGCGTTTTTTTTTTGTTTGCATTAAGTGCGGAATGCCGTCGACGTTAGACTGGAACCTGGTGCGTCGCGGCATTGTACGAGAGGCGCGATGCTTTCTTGGCAACACTTATCCGTCTACGCGATGGATTGCAACCGATGCACCATAAGCAAGCAGCTCGTCAACAGCGGTATTTAATGCACATTAATTCGAATGATACGAGAGACAAGAGGTTTGTTTTCTATTGCTGAACTGGCTGCACTAGAAAGGTATAAAAATTATTAGGACAATTTTGATTTCTTTATTCATTTTCTCTAAGTGTTCCTTTTAAATAAATGCCTAATTTCAGGAAATATTACAATTTGTTATCAATATTTCTTATAGATTTAAAATGACCATAAATTTGTATTACATATTGGACAACTAAATTATATAAATATTTTAATTAAAAATGAATAAAGAAATTAAAATTATTCCAATAATTTTCACACTTCTATAACTTGCACTAGTTCCCTTCTCCTTTTTCTCCCACTCAACTGCATACCTGTTTTTTTTTTTTTAAGTTCTCTAGGCGCATGCTGGTTCAGCGATAAAAAACAGACGTAAGATTAACGTTGACATTCGATTGTCGTTTTTTTTTTCAGTCCGAGGTGTGGTGCAACCCGGTGAGCTCACCGCGATCTTAGGCGGCAGGTAAATCTATTATGATCTCAATTGCCGTTAATCACAATTAATCAATCATTGGTCGTTAATTAGTCAATCGATTATAGTGTTATAATTTGTGAGAAACACTGAATTAATTTAAAAATTAATACGCATCGTAATGTTTGATTGATTGTCGGGTCGTTAAATTTACTTGGCGTTTCACCAGCATATAAATTACAATGTATATCGAATTATTACTTTGCCTATATATCGTCGTCAACTCCGTGACACAGCGGTGCCGGGAAAAGTTCGCTGATGATAGCACTGGCATCTCGCACTGGACGTAAGTATGATTTACGTAATGATCGTAACTTTGAAAAAAATAAGGAAGCTAGCTTCTCTCTTAATCTAATAATATAAATAAAAAGCAAGTAAAAGCCAGAGTTTCGGCTCTTTCTTGCCTTTTACTCATATTATTAGAATCTTTCAGAGTCTTGTCCTTTGTAGTGGTTTTCTTTACTAAAATTGACAGCTGGCGTCGTGGTGCACGGTGACGTTTATGTGAACGGAGTCTCGACTACGTCGTCGTACATGAGATGTCATAGCGGTTTCATGCATCAGGAGGACATGTTCATCGAGACGATGACGGTGCTGGAGCACATCTGGTTTATGGTAAATTCGTCGCGCTCATCGAACGATCGCGTGATTACGCGATTAATGCGAGGACTTTCCTAGGCTAGAATGAAATTGGACGGGAGAATCCACACGTCGGACGTTCGACTGAGGATCGATCACCTGTTGAGGGACGTTGGTCTGATGGAAAGACGCGACATTCGCATCGGTGGCGGCGACGACGGCAAGGTTTTGTCAGGCGGCGAAAAGAAGAGACTCGCCTTCGCCACTGAAGTACGTCTCTCTGTGTGCACTTGCGTTGAATTTCTCTTACTCGCTTGTCATTCTATTTCCGGCCGTCCATCTTCTCAGCTGCTGACAGATCCGGAGATACTGTTTCTGGACGAGCCGACGACGGGCCAAGACGCGCACTCGGCCAGTGTCCTCGTGTCGCACATGACGTCCTTCGTGTCGAGAGGCCGGACGATCCTGTGCACCATACATCAACCCAGCTCCACCATCTTCAACAGTTTCCATCGTATAATCCTTTTGGCTGGTGGCAGAGTAGCGTTTGCTGGTACCGGCGCGCAAGCGATACGATTTTTCACCAGGTACATCTTCATCGCTTCATCGTTTCGGAGGCGAAACAGACAGTTTTATGGACTGAAACAATTTCAGACCCTTCTTTGCGACTGCTTATAATCCTTGCAATATTTTTAGTCAGGGTTACGTGTGCCCACGCAACTACAACCCGGCTGATTTCCTGGTGGCGACTCTGGCGATCGCACCCGGTGACGCGGACGGCAGCGGAAGAGCCGCCCAGAAGATCTGCGACGCGTTTCTCACGAGCGAAGCGTGCAATGAAATCGATGTTATGCTGCAACGGGAGCTCGATATCGCTCGATCACAGCCCGTTGTAAGTGAAATCAGAATGAAACAAAGGTACAATTAGTATAATAAAAAAAGAATCCATTAAACGCGGGAATTTACCTTCTCGTTTTAGACGAAGGAAACTGTACGCAAATTACGTGTCTTGTAAGTATCCTTTGCAACATTTGTTGAAAGTAAGTCGGAGCACAAAGGTCGAGAGTTAAAAACGGCATGATATGTCAAAGAGACGAATCGATGTTCGTTAATCGTGACGTTTAATCGACTTCAGCGAAGGACCGTGCTGCTGGTTGCAGTTGTACTGGTTGATCCACCGCGGATTCCTACAAGTCCTGCGCGATCCTTCAGTACAATTTATTAGGATCTTGCAAAAAGTGGTGAGTATCGTTAGAATGTTCAGCGCGTTTCCCGTAAATCGACTAATTTTAATTTCGCGTAAAATAACAAATCTCACGAATCGCAGAGCGTCGCAATGGTCGCCGGCTTGTGCTTCGTAGGCGCTGTTAACCTTGATCAATTGGGCATTCAAGCCATAGAGGGTGTCATCTATATCTTGGTGTGCGAGAACACCTTCTTCCCCATGTACGCGACCTTGGCGTTGATTCCACAAGAATTGCCGCTTCTACTTCGCGAATACAGAGCGGGCATGTACCCCATTCATCTTTATTACGTAGCACGAATGATATCTTTAGTGAGTTAAATTCCTCTTTATTAAGTGTTACTCCATGTCGATTATTTTCTTCGCATTATCTCGTGAAAATCGACATTATCAGATACCCGGTCTGTTAGTTGAACCAGTGCTGTTCACCGTGATAATATATTGGCTAACAGGATTGCGTCCAACGATAGATGCTCTTGGCTTGACTCTGTTGGTTGTTATATTCACAATGAACGTATCCACTGCCTGTGGTAAGTATCTTACTGACTTAGAATTATGTGAGTTACGGATAAAAACAAAAGATATATTTCGAAACTTTTTTTATATAAAATATATTAATTAAAATTAAATTTTAATTAATTTTATTTTGATAAACTTCAATTAAATCAATTTAATTAATTAATTAATTTAATTATTTGAACATAAAATATAATGTTTACTTGAAAATATACACATGTTTTTTCAAGTGTATATTATTAAAACAATTAACTGTATATATATTTAACTATAATCTTATATACTTAACTATTAACTTACTGTGACTATATATACATACTGTGACTATATATAATAAAACTTAATGCTGCAGGATGTTTCTTCTCAGCCGTTTACGAGAGTGTACCACTAGCGATGGCATACTTGGTGCCTTTCGATTATATTCTCATGATAACCATGGGGCCTTTTATCAAGCTCAGGTATTTGCCGATATGATTGAACAATATCCAGAAAAATTTTATCCTGTCAGTAAAACCGACTCCTAAGTGATCAGTTGATCAATCATGCTTTATTGTATGTTTTATACTACGTATATTCTTTATTCTTTATTACACTGTACAAATCCATACTCGGTGTCCGTTCGTAGTTCGCTGCCTGTATACGTTCGATGGTTGAGATATTTCTCCTGGCTGCTGCATTCGACAGAAGCTCTCACTATCATCCAATGGAGAGGCGTGCATAATATATGTGCGTTAACTTATCACATCAAGCGGCATTCGTGCATTTTTCTCACGAGTAATGTGTAATGCGTATTTCTGTCTTCTACCAACAGCCTGTGAAGTCACCGAGCCGGAACTACCTTGCCTCACCGAAGGCTCTCAAGTATTGGATCGCTACGACTTCGACGAAAGCAGCTTTTGGGCTGACATTGCACTCATGGCTGGCATTTACATAATTTTTCATCTCTTGGCATACGTTTTTTTATGGAAGCGTTGCAGATCAAAGTGAACTCTCAAACTTTCACCTAATCTAACTGTTACGAGTGAACGACCATTACGACGCACACTTTTGCGAAATATATAAGCAAATAATGTGGCTGGGTCATTCAATTCTAAAGTTGCTATTCATACATTACGTATCCTATAAATTCATCGCAACTTCTATTTGCACCGAGCACAATCCTTTTTAATAATTTTATTGAATATTATCATTATTATGATGTATAGAACTATAAGCTCATGCCCAAAATAGGTGTAACAGCCTTATGCTCTAAGATGTATAATTTCAGGCAAAAGCGTTGCCTGCGCTGCTTTAATAGTTAGAATTTGCCTAATTCTCTTAAAGCTTAGGGATTATGATCTCAAGTAACAATGAAAAACATTTTTTGCCGTACATTAAGATTAGACATCGTACTCTGCTGGTATTTATGCAATTTTTTTCATCTCTTAGTATAAGTCTTTCTGTAGAAATGATATAAATCAAAGTAAATTCTCAGATAGCTGTGGAAAATATTTTTAATCGGAAATTATGTCATAGTTTTGGACTTAGAGTGTAAGGCTAAAGCTTGCTACATCTATTATAGAAATCCGATTACCAACGTTATCTCAAGAATATAGGGGATAGTTGCCGAAATTGTACCTAAACCAAATTCCTAAATCATATCTGATAATCAATCATGCTTGATTTTTTAAAAATGTTTGTACCACTCACAAAACAAGATATCTGTAAATTTTTTGTTTGTATTTCTCGCTACTTATTTATATTTCATTTTTACACACTGTTAAATTTAGTCCATATTCAATAATAATAAAGAAATGATGAGGTACGATTTAGGAGACTGATACGATTTTGACAATTCCCTTCTACTCTTGGAATCACAATCTACAGCAATAAGTTAAATGAATTTGCTTACATGATCAATTAGTTGATACATCAATTAGTTAAGCGATGTAAGAATTCTAAAGGTTTTCTTTAAAGAAGTCTGTGGTAATTTAATGGATATAGTGGCATTGATTATAATGAATTCCATGATAATGGTCTGAATTGAGCTGTCTTCACCCATTCGTGTCTTCTGGTTTGTAGCATCATGATATGAGAAACATGAATCCTCCTGAAATAGGAAAGTAAGATAAGATTTAAAGAATGTGTTCCTGCAACAATAATATACAGATATATTTACTTACCATTGTTCTTATGATTTTCCTGAAGCAAATTTTGTCAGTTGTTAAAGTGAATAAGATATTTGTTTTTATAGTAATTAGCTTTATTTATTTTAGAATATTTGTTCACTGTTGATATTGTAGTCTCCTTATTGTATTGTAATCTGACATTAAAGTATCCAACGTATCTTCCTTCAAGACAGCACTAAAATTCTCAGGATAGTAAGATATGTTATTCAAATGGCATTTATATACTCATACGCCCACTCTGATTTTACATCAATATTTATATTTTGTATTTGATGACTGTTTGATGATGTATAATATACTGATAATAATTATGTTAATATAATTTTACAATATATTTATTACAAATAATGTTACCTACTAGAACAATACATGCGCGCGCGCCATATAGTTAATAAAAAACAATAAAAAATGTAAAATAAAAATTAAATTAAAATATATTTTAATTAATTAATAATTATAGGGAGAGACAGGGAGAGACAGAGAGAGACGAGGAGAGACGGGGAGACACAAGGAGAGGCAGGAAGAGACAGAGAGAGACAGGGAGAGACAGGGAGAGATAGGGAGAGACAGGGAGAGACAGGGAGAGATAGGTAGAGACAGGGAGAGACAGGGAGAGACAGGGAGAGATAGGTAGAGACAGAGAGAGACATATCTCTTCTGTATTTTTTTTTCGTGACCTAACCAACGCGATGACAGCTATTTGCCTGGTAATTTGACAGGCGCAAACGAAGCAAGCTGCAGCTCACATGAAGTGAGCTAAACGAGAAAACCAATCAGCATCGCGGAAAAGCGGCAACAATTAAATATTTTACATGCTTTCTTTTAGAGAGGATTATCTATCTACTGATTAACTTTATAATTGATCCTAATTATAACTGTAATTACATTGCAAAGAATATATGTGAAAAAAAATTATATATCCATAACCAACATTATATATCCGGATAGTCAAATCTGCACAAACAGATATTGAATAGAGTCTGCTAGAAATTTTTGATAACATAAAAGCAGCAAATACTTAGGTAAATACCTATTAGGACCTTAACTTCCTTCCCATCTTCCTTCCTTTTGGATCTTTCCCATGGCGTGTAAACGTTTGGAAACAGCTGCTTCAGTAACTCCTAGCTCGTTTCCAAGTTCTTGTAACGTTCGAGCCGAGTTTTCATGCAATAATGCTAGCAATTCATCGTCTTGGAATTTTTTTGGCTGTCCTGAGCGTGGTTTGTCATTGACATCAAAATCATTACTTTTGAATCGTCTATACCACTCTTTACATGTTGTATGTGATGGAGCTCGATCACCATAACCTTCTTCAAGTAATCGATGAACTTCTGCTACACTTTTTTTCAAATCAAAATAGTGCAAAAGCACATGTCGAAAAAACACTTTATCGCGTTCCATTTTTCACAAAGCAAAAGAAATTGTTGTTTAGGAAAATAATTGTGTATGCTGACTGAATGTTATCGAGAAATGTCGAAATTAATCACAAACTACCTGTTTCGTTAGTAATGACTACTAGAACTGTTTGCATTGCCATCTAACATTTGCGGGCGGAAACTAAGTTAAGGTCCTAATAGATAAATGTCTATACACCAACACATTTAGAATGATTTTTGAGTTGTTTTGTTAGAGATATATGATAACCTGAGAGGTTGCAACGATCCTAAAAATTGTCTTAAAAATGTTAACAATGTAAGAATGTTTATACTAATCAATTTTGTGTCACGTTTAGTAAAATAATATATTTTGTAGTGCTGAAAAAATGTAAAATTTTTGCTATATATGTAATAGAAAAACCGATACACATATATATACACATATACATACATATAAACTTGTAAAATTTAAAAATATGTTGTACAAATTTAAAAATAAAATCATATAAATATTTTTCGTAGAATTTAGCATCCACATTTTTATACGAGCAGTAAATATGTTTACTGCCTTTGCAATTATTTCAAGAGCATTATAATTATTTATTAAGATGATTAAATAATACGCGCTTGACCCGCCATTACTATTACTAGAGTAGTAATATTTGATGAAACAAAGATGTGTCCGACGCATTTTTGAAAATGATCGACTGTAATTGTTCAATTTGCTTGTGGCTCATAACTAATGGCTTATTGTAGAAGGCTTATTATGTAAAAGTATCAAAAAAGCAAGCAACACGAACTTTAAATAAAGCAAGGAGTGCAAAAAACCGATCTCATTAGTTAATTATACCGCGCTTCAACCCATGGAAAGTGGTGGCTCGTAACGGAGACTTTGGAACTATTTCAGCCAATCAGAAATAACGGGTCTAATAGACCCCTCATTTGCTGACCAATAGTGTTCGGCTTGTGTTGAATGTTTCTCATGAGTTGGTCATACTGACCGAAAACGAAATTTTGAGGAGAAGACCGAAAACGAATTGCGACGCAACAAGTGATGTCGTCTTACGTTGTTTGTGCGATTTCGGCTTGCCCAGGATGAGTTGCGTGGATCATCGCTGGAAGTGCTGAAAGTAAGTGTTACGCGTTCATCATGATAAGGTATCGTCAAATACCTCGCACGGAATAAGTATATCGCGAAATAAGCAGTTGTGAATTTGCGCATTTGTGGTGTTACTGGCGACTGAAAATGCGAAAGCCGTGATTCCCTCGCATCACCTATGCGTCGAAGAAGAGTGATGTGCGCGAATATTATCGGAAGTGCCGAAATAAGTCTCGTCGTAACGAAATTTCGTCAAGTAAACACCCGGAGTGGCTATGGGCGAGTTTTTTAATTCATCGATGGATCCATCGATGAATTAAAAAACTTGACCTATGCGCGCAACAGGCAGTCGGTAGTTTTAAGTATAGCGCGTTTGTCGTGTGATAATGCGAGTTATCAATCCATTGGAAGAGAGCGTTGTGTGCGAGTATTGTCGAGAGTGCCGAAAGTAAATCTCGCGCAATTGTGATGAGACAATGGCCCATGTTCTGAAACCTCTTTTATCGATAAAAATATCTTGAATATAGCTTCTCAGCCAATCAGGTGGGCCCTAAGCCTCTTTTAGAAGCATTTTTATAGTTAAAAGAGGATTCAGAATATGGGCCATTGTCAAGTAAGCACCCGAAACGAGTATGTCGCGGAATGGGCAGTCGGGAATTTCGAGAAAAGTATCGCGCGTTCCTCATATCAGTGTTCGTCACAAGTGAATATTTTGAATATCACGATGAAGTATCCAGGAGCCAGGATGGCAGTATCATAGGCAGTAGGTTTGTTCTTTTCAGCTGCAATAAGTTAGAGTGAGACAAATATATTTTATCTTATTTTAACTTATTGTAGTTGAAAAAACAGACCAAGTGTCAGTTGGTCTGTTCTTTTCAGCTGAACTAGTGCAATAAGATAAAGTGAACAAGTATATTTTTTCTCATTGTAACTTATTGCACTACTTCAGCAGTGCAGCTGAAAACAACAGACTAAGTGTCAGCGTCAGTGATAGTATCGGTTTCGGTGATAGTGCAAGGACCCACCTCAAGATTAAAACCTCAAGTTATAGAATATTTGAAGTGCCACGACAAAGCTGTGAGGAGTAATTAGTGTCAGTGATAATACAAGAGCTAATTTTAAAGTTAAAGACCCTAGTGAATATTTGGAGTGCAACGATAAAGCAGTCAGAAATCGTGTCTGCGAAGTTGGCACCGCAAGTTTTGAGGCAAGTTCCATCTGCATCCGCAATAGTTTTACAGTTCCTGGTAAGTCATATTAATAGTTCCGTTCATTTATGGCAAAAAATCGATTTTTTTAAAAATGCGATGTTAACTTCGCGTGGCACCTCAAATTCCAAAAAATGCCGTTCCAACGATGATACTTCATAGTTCTTGAAGAGTTCTATAGTTCTAGATATATTGCAACGAGATTTGGAACAAGAAAGGAAGCATGTGTTTTTTCTTAACGTCGGGTGCTGTCAAATCGATTTTTTTTTCGAATTTTCGGAGAACGGATGACGCTACGAGTCTCATACTCTAGAACTATAATTCTTAAGCCTAGAACAACTCAGAACAAAAAGCTCTCGGTTGGAACAAGAAAGATAGTATAAGTTTACTCTTGGTCCGATAGACTGTCAAAAAACTTTTTTTTAATTTTTCGGACTTATAATTAAACTTATTGATTTGTGCTTTTGGAACAATGTTTGGAACAACTAGAACAATATATATCGGTTTCGGAATGCTTTATTTTCAAAAAATGGGGTGCCAGGTCAAAAATATTTTTTTCATTTTTTGGACTTATAATTCAACTTACAGATTTGTCCTTTTGGAACAATGTTTGGAACAATTAGAACAATCTATTGCGGTATCAGAATGTTCGATTTTCGAAAAGTGGGGTGCCAGCTCAAAAAATCATTTTTTTTGTTTTATTCGAAAACCATTTCGAATGAAGCAATATCACTTTGGAACAATGTGGTACAAAGTCAGAACAATCTGGAACAACTTTCAAAATTATAAATTTCAAAAAGTGGGGTGCCAACTTCATACACTCCTTGTGGTGCGGTGCTGACTCCAACTTTTAAAAATTAAAAAAAAGTAATTAGAGGCCGAAACTCTCGTTGCAATATATCAAGAACTATTGAACTCTTCAATAACTATGAATCATCGATGGAACGGCGTTTTTTGGAATTTGAGGTGCCACTCGAAGTTGAGACCGCATTTTTTCAAAAATCGATTTTTTGCCCTAAATAAACGGAACTGTTGATATGACTTATCAGGAACTGTAAAACTATTGGGGTGAAAATGGAACTTGCCTCAAAACTTACGGTGCCAAAAGTTGAGGTGCCAACTTCGCAGACACATGCGTCAATGCGTATTTAAAATAATATTTTGACATATCGTCTTTGCCTCGTGTATTCCTCTATATACATAAAACCGAGAATGGCAATAATAATGTGGTTTACATTTTTATTTCCTTCTGAGTTATAGAGCGCTTTTTTTATCGGAGTTTATCATCCACTTTGGCAACTTTTTTCTATATTGCTAAACAAAAGTTACTAAACAAAAGTGAAACTTAACGTTTTGTCAATTTGGGACAGATATACCGAGCTGCGGGTATGACGGTAGTGCGTAATGTAGGACGAAATACATTATAAAGTCAAAATAGTAAATATCTCGTTGCAATGTTTCTTATGCATCTCAAATGACTGTGAGCAATTCGTGAACCCGTAGTATTTTTTAATTGACGAAGAATACTATTTCTAGACATGTTCTGATTTGATGAATGACGCGAGTGTCGTCGATTTGTTCTTACATAAGACAAATATTATCGTAACTAAATATAACATTTATTTAACTAAACATAAATAATGTTTAGGAGGCGACGACGCAACGCGAAGTAATTTTGTCGTCGCGTTATTATCGCCTGCTCTTGCGAAAAGATCTCACTGCAAAGCGCACATTTGTTCCGTTTCACCGTGTCGATATACACCGCTGACCAACAAGCGTGAACGATGCTAGCGAGTTACGTAAAGCGAAGGACACGAGTTTCGATGTTCCCTATCGATATAGACTTCCGATGTTTATTTAGTTATATTGTTGTTTGTGACACCGTGGGAAAAAAAATCTCCTAAGGGACTATAGACTGTTTAAATAACAAGCAAAAGAAAGATTTCCTTTATTTTCATCATTTTTTTTAAATAATATTTTATTAAAGTGCAAGCACGATTAGGATAGTAATAAGTTCACTTCGCGATGCAAAATGCGAGTATTATTTATTGTTTCAAATAAAATCTGCCGAAACCTGCTGTAGATGCGTTGAAAAATTAGGGGAGACCAGTGTTAGTTGATTACCTAGCTAAGTTGGCAAAATCGATTATTTCTACTGTTCTTTAACAGACTTCAGAATTAAGCAAGCAGGAATTTCAAAATCATCTTTGACATGTTTAAAAATTTTGCTTGCTTAATTTTGTAATTTGTTAGAAAATAGTCGAAATAATTGGTTTTCCCAACTCACTCCGGTAACCAACTAGGTCTTCCTTATCCTGCATCATATTTTAATCGAGTATATCGTAACTATCATAGGTTTTGGTGCAAATGGAATTTATTTTATTAGTCATGTGGAAACTCATTTATCTCGGTGATCGCTCGGAACGGGATCTACATCAGCATAAGTATATATTTCTCGCTTGAAAATTTATTCATACGAGTGTATTGTCTCTGCGTGCATCCAAATAATGGATATTATATCTTTAGTAGTATTAGAGCAGCGAGCGAATTTGCGTTTCGAATATGCGATAGGTATTTGTTTTGTGGCTCGTATCCGACACTTCGTCATCGCATCACCGTGTTGATAACGACGACGGCGAAGGCCGAATTTATGTCACCGGCCGGCAAACGTGCAATCAGACAGCGTAGAGCTTCAACACACGAGGTAATCGTTTGCCGACCTCGCCATCGTTCTTTTTTTATTTCACGACAACGCAGGTGAATGGATGGATGCGCGCACCGGTATTTTCCCAGGCGCATCCGATCGTCCGTTCGATCAGGTGGGCGGATGGCGCGACCGGGGACAGGCCCCTCTGCTCTTTCAAGTTGTATGCGTCGTCGCGGCTCGGCAGACGATCGCTTTTCATTTCGTTGCGGATCTGCCTCGCGATCGGTCAGTGGGACGGCGGCCTCGTCGCGATCTCGCATTCCGCGTTCGCTCTCGCGCAGGAACAAACTCGACATTTGTTGAGAGTGAATCGCCAACGTAATAACTAAATGATGTCGAGAATCACGTGAAGAGCTCTGAAGTCGCGGCCACACACCGATCCTCGGTTTAACCAGTCGGCGATGCGCGTCGAGTGCCAGCCGAGTGTGATAATCGTTACGAGAGAAATGATGAACGACGGCACGACGTTTGCGTAATAGCGTGAGTCGATTTTAAAAATATAACGCGGTAATGAGGTGAATTCATTATGTATAAGTCGCTTTGAACGTAATCTTTTAACTTAAAATAGAAAGAAAGATAGACAGAGAGTGACAGAGAGACAGGATAGAGAGAGAGAAAGAGACTGAGAGAGGCAGAGAGAGAGAGAGAGAGAGAGAGAGAGAGAGAGAGAGAGAGAGAGAGAGAGAGAGA